CCCCAAAACCCCAAAACCCCAAAACCCCAAAACCCCAAAACCCCAAAACCCCGAGGACAAAATAATATTTTGAATATTAGTATTCAGCACAGATAAATATTTTTATTTCTTATCCGATGTATCACAAGTTTGATGAAACCCATGCTCTATCAATATTTCCTTCACCTCCTTTCAACCATTAAAAAGAGGGAGTCCTTTGAAATGTTTAAAAGTTTCTCTGAAATCTTGCGACTTCGAAAGCCCTTCTACCAATTTTGTGAAGCCATTCATATTCTCTCTTGTTATTGGAGATCCATTTATTGTTGAATTCTCCAATCTCAATGTTTTGATTTTACTACCATCCAAAGAATGGCCGAAGTTAGGCACTTTTAGCATAGAAATATAGCAATACGAAAATAGTAATTCCTCTTTATTTCGACAAGCAGAAAGAAGTTTCATCAAAGAAGATCGTCTCATCTTTGTGTGGTAAAAGTAGACTTTAGAGTTTACCTTATAGCTTACATTTAGAATATCTCGAAGATATTTGCTTTTATTTAATCATTTATCATTACTGAAATGTAGATCTAATCTCTCCAATCTTCTCAAGGACGAATTTAAAAGACATGTTTTCAAAGTAGGTAAATTTTTAGAGTTTACATTGCGAACAGTTATTCTCTCTACATCGGGATAAGGTAGAGACTTCATACTTTTCAGAAACTTAGCATTTTCACGAAGGCTTAGGTCTAGAGGCACAAATAACACTTATAATGAGTCTTAAATGCTTCTTTACATAATTTCTCAAGAAGACTAAAGTACACTTGTGAATCAATATCGTCAGATTGCTGCTGTAGACTCTCCTCAAACCTGGCTATGGTACTCTTTTCATCATTATTTTGGTCTAAAAACATTACGACTCAGTCATAACTTTAAACAATAGTTTAAAAGTTGTAAGATTAGAAGTCGGAAGGTCAACATCTAAGCTAAACGATTTGAGTTTCACTTTCTGAAAAATCTTAAATTTATGCGTTCAGACAACACTTTTATAAACGAACTATTAACGAAAAATGAGAAATACCTGAGCTCTCAACTATGGTCGCTTTCTGTTCTTCAGCTGCTTGAACCATTTTATTGGCTTGCTTTAGAAGGTCTCTGAGTTCTCCTTCTAAATTATCGTATTTTTGTTTGCACATATTATAAGTATCTTTGATCCCTGATTCCTCAGGACTCAAGGCATACAACTGAATCTTTAACGAAACGGCTTCCCTATAAATTTGAGAAATCCTTGTTTTGAAATTATTATTCTGAGCTTTGGAATACATCTCCAAGGCAGTTCTTTGTCTTGCCGCTTGGGATCTAAGTTTCTCATACTCGGCTTGCATTCTGCGCATTACTAGAGATCATCTTACTTGAGCACAAGCATGGCTTGCTTAGAAATGCTCTTATTTCTTGTAGAAGCCTTTTGCTTGCTTTGATTTTTCCCCATTTATAAATTAAAACATAAATGCAATAATATTTATCTAACCCGGGGTTTTGGGGTTTTGGGGTTTTGGGGTTTTGGGGTTTTGGGG